ACACACACACACACACACACACACTGTAGAACTTGCTGTCATATTTATTTTTCGAGTACAGATTGTTGGAAAATTTCACGAATTACAAGGCGAATTTATGCACAGTTTATTTCAAATACTTCTTAGTATCTACGTATCTGTTTACTTTTGTTCTGATAGAATTAAATTACAAATTTTGTTGCGTACAAGTCGAGACAAAAATACTATCATAATTTACAACCTTTAAGCGTTGATTAAAGCATATTTTTAAATGTTGTGGGTACAAATCTTAATTATTGATCAAAGAGCAAATTGACTAAAGGAAATGTAAATTTTATTAGTCCTTTGTTTCCGTCATCATTAAAAGTATGTGAAATCAAATAATAGAATTGTTGTAAAATCTAAAGTGGTAACGTAATAAACGTTTACTTTATTAGCTTATGTAATATTGTTTCAATAAAATTCAAACAAACGGTCCCGATTTAGCGCAAGTTAACATGTGCAAGAGAGCATAATTCAATTTTCCTGAGCGAGAGTAATTAGAGTTGTATTTCGATACAATTCGAACGCGGTCAGTTAACACGAAATTTGACTTCTGCAAATGTGCAGGAACAGATGAAAACAATCGATGAAACGAAGTTAGTACTGCACATCGGTGGAATACTCAGTCTCGCTGATTTAAAGTTACGATTCGTGATTGAGCGGCCTAGGAAATTTGGAAACTTGAGAATCACGGAGATTTGAAAATGCGAGAGAATCTGTAAATTTTCCAACTTGAATGTTTGAACTGTTTCGTAACTACGAATACTTGATCATTTCAAGCAGCGAGAACTTTGGAAAACCTGAAAATTCGGAAGTCCCGAATAATTCGTGAGAATTTGAGAACCTAAGAATTTGCTAGTTGAAAATTAAAAATTCAGAAGTGGAAGACCTTCTGAATTTTTAATTTTCAATTTTAACGTTTCCACGTCTTCTGATAATGATGCAAGCCAGATCAACTTACATTTCTCTGCCGTTCTCGGCCATTTTAGCAAACGGTCGAGGTTAATTATAATCGAAACGCGGGTGGAAAAATATTTCGTTTTCGGCATTACAGCGAAAGGTGAATCCAGTTAAGCATTGATCGTGTGCTTTATTGTTCATGCATTGTAATTGATTGACGTTCCGCAGTAATACGTTTATGGATGTCGCACCGTGTTATTCAATGTGTTTTCGGTCATTGAGTTCCCTGTCACACGCGCGCAAATGTAACGAGGATAACGTTATTCAAAAACGGTCCTGTCCTATTTCGGCAATATATTTGACACAATTATTCGCACAAATTTACGCGCAGGGAGGAGAGGGAAATAAAACAAAAAAAAAAGAAAGGGAGAAACAACACATCCAATTATAATTCAGTGGAATACCATTTATTATTCGATTAATTATTCTCGTTTCTATAATATAACGCGGGTATCAATCAAGAATTATTAACGATCTCTAGAGAATTCTAATTTGCAACGGAACGAGTCACGAAAACGCTCGATGAAAGCAAATTGCCAATAAATTTCTAACAATAATCTGTCTACGAATATGTTGAACGGATTAGTCGTTATCGTCGAACGATATTAATGGCTATTGATACATTATTGATAACTTAATGAATGATATCGTTAAAGTACCGATAAGATAAATAGGAACGATCGGAATATAGCGCGTATAATGCATCACTGGATCGTGAATGTCGTATGTAAATTTGTATTGTATTTTTAGTAGATGAAGATTTGCTTCGATCGTTAAATATCATTCGATATATCTCGTGTACATATATTTCTCTGTATTGGTACATTCTTCACGTTTCCATACCTTTAATTCTTTCTTCGTTCGTACGTTTCCATTTCTCTTTCTATGGAAACGTTCTTCTCTTCATGCACGGAAAAATAAATATAAAAATAAATACATTGACCGAGGGTATTCCGAGTGGAACAATTATACACGAAAGTTGATCATGATTCGTTGTGCAATCCTATTGTACACGACAGAGTACTCTCTCACATTTTAAATTGCCCAAAGACGAACACTCGTAGTCTGTAAACCCAACGACCACCTTCCATCCTCGTTCTCTTCCCTATCTTTTTCCACTTTTCCTCTTCTCCGAGCATTCAATTCCTCGCTGCAAGCCAACCAATTAAGCGTCGTTGGCCCCGTATGGCCAAATTAATGCGTCGATACTTCAATTATATAAATGAACCTGACAGCGCATCTCGGGAGCCGAAGTGGAAACGAACGAGCGTAGACCGATCTATCCACCGATTCGAAAATCAATACCGGTCCG